GACTGGTGGCTACTGCGCTGAAGAGCCCAGAAGTCCAGCATGATTGTCACCACAGAACTGTGAGAGAATACTGCCCTAGGGGCTGTCACTTTAAAAGCATGCTGTATAAAAAAAAATTTTTCAGTTATACACAGAAAATCAGGGTAACACAGGCCCATGGTGTTTGCAGACAGGCCAGGTGTTTTTATCCCTGCTTTACTTTATCTCCCAAGATGCACCCATCTAAAGCATTTTGATGAATGTATAGTTTATGCATTGTAAGCAATTAAATAATACAGGAAAAATCCCATTCCGGTCCCTCACCACAGGGACAAATTTACTTAATGTTGGCTTCTGGCTATCTTTGTGACTGCTTTCACAAATATATTTCTCGATTTGTCACTTAGTCAATAGCTGTTACATTCTCAATATGGAAGGCGTGGATTAAGCCCACCCGTATTGACCTTCCTCCTGTACGCCTCCTGCTAGCTTTTAAATTTGCATTAGTACATCCTATTAGCTGTCTGTAGCTCCAAATAACACTGCTTGAGCTTCGTCTCCTATGTTAGCAACTTTCTCTCGACTTGGAAAAGTGTAGTATCAACAACCGCGTACCCCTTACCTGCACCCCACCCTCCCATTTCCAAGTCCTCCCTTCTGCTAAGGCTTCTATTTTGTGTACCCATCACAATCTTCTGACTGCCTTTTCTGAGCGTTCCACACATCCCGACACTAAAGTCCCAAGCCTGTTAGCAACATTTTCCTGAGCTAAATAGAATGTAAAGCCCCAAGTTCAGCTATGCAACAATCTTCTTAGCTGGGTCAGATGCTAGACTATCTGGTAACTCTTCCAGCAGTGAGGGAGTCTCTCAGTCCACCCTGCCCGACACATGCATGCATGGAGGTACTCATGTTTGTGGGGTAAACGATCCCTGTCTCTTAGCATGTCAGGGTGAGTTCAGGTTAAGGGTTTTGCAGAGCCTAGCTGATGATCTGCATCAATAGTCTAATCCCTTTGATTTTACACAAACTTCACATCCTGTATCTTTGTTCAAATACTGCCTTTCTAGCCTAAGCTGGAGGCCATGAGTACTGCTGAGCGTCCTGGTCTTCTAGTGTATTGGTCTCTAGACTCTCATAGTTCATGGACTAAAATGTACACAGGGTGAAAATTCAATCCCAGAGATCCATGCAAATGCACGAACACATCTATATTGCGTGAAAGTGGGTACAAATTACTCATAATTTCAACAGCCATATTGAATTGTCTTTCATGCACACTAGTTGAATGAAAGAAGTAACTGAAAACTGGTACTGAGGCTTGTTTCCAAGCGGCTGGGAGATCCCAAGAACCACCAACTGTCTCCTTAGAAGATCAGCTCCCCGTGTCTATAAAACCAAGATCAAGTTGGCTTGTGGGAGCGGCTTTCGGTATTTGCCTTATTATACATTATTCATGATTCCTGACTGCACATCTCATGGACAAACTACATGAGGCTCCATTAGTGATTTCAGGGCAGTGACAATGATTGATTCTGTGCAGATTAATGCATAGCAGAGATGCCATTGAGTCCTCTCTTACATTTATATCAATAGGAATTCACGCTTCGGAGAGTGGGGCTCATGTGAAGAGGGTAAATTATGATTATACTGCATCGGTACTGAGCAGCAGACTCCTCCCGAAGACTTGTTCCCTGTTCTTCCCACTGTGACCTTCTCCCGGAAGGTGAAGTGACACTCCTAGAATAAGCCAACAGGTTAGGAGGAGCCAAAAATTGAGAAACAAATCTTTGCAGTTTTAATGAGAGGAATAGGAGCTAGATATTGAAGGGGTTGTGTCCTCTTCCCAATTCAAGAACTGCACCCATCTTTTTTTTCCCTTACAGAGTCAAGCCATGGTCAAATATGGTGCCCATGCTGCTGTGTTTGCTGTACTGAACTCACCACTAACGGAGAAAGCAGACTGTCCACAGGCGATAATCCTGGATGGTGCCTGTATACTGCAGGTACATTGGGAACCCAGGGTATTAGCTTGTGAGTCTGGCAAATGGGTTGATGGAAAATGTCCGGGCAGGAGGACAGGATTGTGTACAGGAAAAGAGAGTGTCAGTTTCTCTTTACTACGACAGAGTACCCGAGGCAAGAAGAAAGTAGCCGTCGTTTCATGTTCACTCTACAGTTCTGATGGTTCAAGTTCAAATTGGGTACCATTAGTTTGGCATCTGGTAAGGCTGACTCACCACAATAAGAATGCGTCTAAGATAAAAATATTATGGCAGAAGTTGAGAGAGAGAGAGAGAGAGAGAGAGAGAGAGAGAGAGAGAGTCACTTTTGAGAAAATGAAGAAACCACCCCCAGTGACCTATGTACCTCACAATAGGCTTCACTTCTTGAACTTCCAAGGCTCCTGCCAAACTACCACCTTGGAAATCAAGCCTTTTCATGTGGAACTTTAGGGACAATTATCCAAGCCACAGTCAAAGTTTAGATAATGATAATAACAAGTCAAAGAGGAACCTCACAGCCAGGAGAAGGAGTTTGCCTCTATTTTGTGCTTTAAACAGGGTTCAAATTCACTCCATTTGATCCTCATCATTCAGTGCCCACTGCATCTGTCCACAAGACTACTTCTGCTGCATTGGGTCTGCCCCCACTCTCTCTGCTTCTCCTGCAAATGTGGTGCCCATGGTGCAAATATGGTGCCCATGCTGCTGTGTTTGCTGTACTGAACTCACCGCTAATGGAGAAAGCATACTGTCCACAGGCGATAATCCTGGATGGTGCCTGTATACTGCAGGTACATTGGGAACCCAGGGTATTAGCTTGAGAGTCTGGCAAATGGGCTGATGGAAAGTGTCCGGACAGGAGGACAGGATTGTGTACAGGAAAAGAGAGTGTCAGTTTCTCTTTACTAAGGGCAGTGGGTCTGCCCTTACTCTGTCTTCAGGTTGTTCTTTTCATTGGTTATTTTAAATATCTTTAAATTAGCAGAACATGATAACTTTTAATGAATATTCCCTTTTTAATTTGTATTTTATGTTGTATGAGTATTTTGTCTGTGTGTATGTCTATGAGACACATGTATGCCTGGTGTCTAGCTCTTGCAGAGGTCAGAAGAGAATGTTGGATTCCTTGGAACTAAAGTTACTTGTGGTGATGGGCCATCATGTGGGTGCTGGGAATTCTGGGTCCTGAAAACAAACAGCACTCTTAACTTCTGAGCCATCTCTCCAGTCCCACATGCTAAACTTTTAAAAACTAAAAGACAAGAAGAGAAAAATGGAAGTTCTCTTGTTTACCTTGTCATCCTCCAACCATGGATGACTTTTGGTGGTCATATTCTGTATGTATGGAGAATGTGGTAGACAAATGACATCAGCCAATGCGTACTATAATCTGCAACCTGCCTGGATGATTTAATTAAGATTTTCACATATCTTGGTATGACTTCACATTTACAGTTCAGATTTTTTAAAACGGTTGCGTAGTATTTCATAATATGGATTGGCATTAAGGCTTTAATCGTTTAAATAGTATTTATTACTAAATATTCAAGTTTTTCCATATTAAGCTGTGAAAAATCTACACATGCAAATTTAATTATGCAAATATACATATATACATGCACACACACATATATATTAATGACCTATGAAATGGATATATGTAATAGATGTATACTACTGCATAGATATAACATTGCTACTGTGCATGTACACTTATCTATAATCAACAAACACACACAGTAGGAAAAGTATTTGATACGCACTAGCTGCTCTCAGAAGCCTTTTTTTTTGCACTCAGAAGCTTTAAGAAATGTCATCCTGAAAGAAGGGAAGGAGAGGAGACCATTAATAAAATCATCTTTATCTGTAATTTTTTATCTTATATATGTGTTTCATACACATATATTTATACATGCATACATAAATGTATAGAGATATACATATATTATCTACAATGTTTCATTTCACATATATATTTCATATATATATATATATATGCACACAACAAAAATAAAGTAAACACATTGATAGTTTGGGTATTATCTCCTTTACTTCTCTACATTTTTTAAATTTAATTCTCTACATTTTTCTCTAGGTATAATTTAAAGATTAGAAACAGAAAACAGATTGACATCTTCAACCTAAAATGCAAAAAAGTTTTTACTTCCGGAACATGTGCTCCTGAAGAAATGGCTTTTGATGTCAAGACAGATGTCCTGGTGTCGGGCTCTACCCTGTTCCTCGGACAGTGCTTCTGAAATGTTCATGTGCTAGCCTGGCGTACTTGCTAGAAGGTAAAGGAGCCTTTCAGGGTTGGGTGTAGGTAGGTGGGTAAAGGGAGGAAGCTAGGAGACAGGAGCATGCTCCTGGTGGGCCCTTCCTCTCACTTTACTTCCCAGCCACAATGAGGCCCGTGGTTTTGCTCTTACCTAAACACTTGTTCTACCTTATCACAGGCTGGGAGGCAGCAGACCAGTCAGCCATGGCTCTTGAAAGCCTTGACCAAGTTAACCCTCCCCCCTCAAATTTGAACCTCTCACATAGCTGACCCAGTTTGGGAAAGCTGTTTGATCCTGCTCAAGGTCAATGACGAGCTCCCGGTTTACACCCGTGTTCCTCCATCAGGCCAATAGGAGGAAAGGGTCATTCAGAGACTTCTGTCCTGTCTTTGCTCTTTGGTTCCTTCATGAAGACCATCCAGAAAAAGTCTGTGTTAAGCAAATATGCTCCCCTGCTGTGCTCCCCAGAGGCTCTCTGTGAAATGCTCAACCAAAAGGACCATCTTCTCAATGATGTGGAATCCTTTCCTTTGCCACTGTGGCCCACACCTCCAGAACAAGGTGTCAGTCCTCAGCTTCTTCTAGGTCTCTGGAGGGCCCAGTGCATCCCAAAGGCCCCCATACAGCCAACGGCACAGGGTTCACGTGGAACATTGGAGACCTTGTTCTAAAGCGTTTCTAGAACCCAGGCAATGTGGTGATGGAACTGTGGAGCCAGGTGACCTAGATACAAGCTTTGGCTCTTGACTTTATTAACCGTAAAGCCTTTAATCTCTCTTATCAGCCTAATGGAAATAATGCTACTGGCTTCCCTTATCTGGAAATGTCATCACCAGGATCAAGAGGTAGGATGAGAAAGCAATGTGGAAGCCATATAATAGTATACAAATGATAATTTTGCTGTCAAACATAGATGCGGTCCAATGAACTCTTCTGTCCTTTTCTGTCAATACAAGTTCAGCATTAAAAATTTATAATGCTTGGGGAAACTTCAGGGTAGATCATTGTTAGGTTTTTAGGACTCCAGTAACAAAACACTAAAAGTGAGTCTCTTAAAATAAATACAATGTATAACAGTTCTGTAGGCTTCAAGTATGTAAAGTGGTGGAGGGCCATACCCCTTGAGAGGCTAGAACCTCACTTTTCCTGGCTCTGGTGACCCTGGTCTTTCCTATCCATTTTGCTAAGTGAAATACGAATAGAGCCTTAACCCCTGCCTTGTCACATGACCATCTCTCCGCATCTGTCTTCTCATGGTTCTTGGCCTCCCTGTAAGGATGCCCAACATCCAGTGTAGGACCTCGTCTTAGTCATTTTTCTGTTGCAGTGATACAATACCTTGACAAGACCATTCAGAGGGGGAGCTGTTGATTGTAGCTCACAGTTCCAGGACGGACACATTCTATCAAGGAAGGGAAATCATGGTGGCAGGAGCTCCAGAGAGCTGGTTACATCGTGTCTGGGGGCAGAAGCAGAGAGGGTTTGCATGCTGGCTCTCAGCTCTTGTTCTCCTTTCACGGGAATCCTAGCTCAGGTGCCAAGCACAGTGGAGGGATACTTCCCACCTCAGTTAACTCAGTCAAATGAATCCCCCAAGGGCAAGTCAAGAGAACCACTGCTCTCAGTCTGATTCTAGACTCTTCAAATTTACGACAGATTGATCATCTCAGGCCTAATTCAGGACGATTTTATTTGCCTTCGATTACATGTGCAGACTGCAGTTTAAATAAAGCCACATTTCTAGCCACCTGGGATTAGGACTTCAATGTATCTATCATCCCAGGAGACAAACTACACCTACCACAGGCCTGTGGCCTGATTGTGTGTGTGTGTGTGTGTGTGTGTGTGTGTGTGCGCGCGCACGCACCTATATAACATGGACTCTTAAAGTTAAAAACATGAAGGTAAAGTACTAGTCTCCCTAGCGAAGACGATCTAGTTCCTAGAAATCTTTCCTCAACGTTCAAACTGTTATTCTTTAAGCTCGAGATCCCCATCTCAAAACACATCATAACTCTGGCACGGCCACTGTGATACCATCCCTCTACTGAGTCCTGTCAACATTCCAGTGTTAAATAATCCAGGACAAGGGAAAAGGGAGAAATGCAGAGATGAGCTTGTCCTTTCTCTCCATTTGCTGAATATTTCACCTGACCCACATCAAAATAGTTATTCCGTTTATTCATCACAACCGATTTCTCTACAAACTGTACCTCTTTGATTGTTTGCTTCGTAGGTGAGCAACTGAAGCACACAGCAAAAATTCTTGTCTAAAGAGTCATAGTAAGTGGGGGCCCTTGGGACACAAATGTGGGTGTTCTGAAACATAGCAACCAGAGAGTTTTCTTAGTCTCAATTTAATTTTAGACATTATGTGTGTTAGCTGCCTCAACATGGAGGATGTAGTCCGAACAGTGAGGGGATGGTTCCCTAGTCTTCCTGCACCCTTTGCTTCCACACCATTGTTGAGGAATTTCTGATTTAGGAGCTGAGTCCAGATGACCCCAAATACCTGGTCTTCATTTGTTAATCCATTTAGTAAACATTGGCTGGCATCATATAATAGACCCAGGGCAACACAGGGCAGCAAAATGAGCCCTCACAAAGCAGACCATTGCAGGACAGCTAAAGCACCTTATCCATAGAACAAATCAACATTTCACTTTCTGCATTAATGATGAAAATGCCTTTGTTTCGATTTCAGACAAAAGTGAAGGAGAAAAAAAATGCATGTACCTGATAGATACCAAGATCATCAGTTTCTACCAGACATCGGAAGTTCTTGGCTCCCAGCCTAGTAAATGTTAGTTGGAAGGAGGAAGGAGTATGGAAGGAATCGAGAATCTGCCCTCCATCATAGACAGAGAGATAAAGGGAGCTGCTTGGAACCACAGGCTGCTGATGGTTCCAAGGCGAAGGATTGTAAGAGATCCCTTTTCATTCCACAGGCAACAGTGGAAGAAAGAACTTTGCTGCTAAACACATAAATACTGACCCACTTTAATAATTCAAATCAGAGCACAGGTCCCTGCTCTTTCAGAATGCTGAGTTAAATTCAAAGGCACACAAAGCCGGCAAATGTACAGTCTCATTAGAAGTCCAGAAGCCAGACAGCATGGGTGGGGTGGGGTGGGGAGGGTCAGGTGACTTCACTCAGCCAAGTGCCAGCAAAAAGTATAGAGGGTGTTCAGAACAACTGGAGAGATGTAAGAATTTGGGGGGAGGGGATCTCTGATGCCCCTCGGATTTCTTTCTGTGGATTCCCAGGTTGTGGAGTCTATGAGACCTCTTTTTTGTTTTTCTTATCCCTCCCCTTTGACTGTGGAAACTCATGAAAAGGTTCAGTATAATCCATTTGTCATCAAGGCAGATAAAGCACATTTTCAGCCAGCCAAAAATAATGCAGCAGTGGCCTAATTGTGTCGAGACCTGGATTTCACTAGCGACATGCACTTCTCAGACCTGGGCAAAGCTGGAATCGGGTCCTGTCACTAGACTTTACCAAGGAACCCTGGGTCTACAGGAAAGCAAATCTTATCTAGTGCCTGTGCTACTGGGCTCCATAGTAAAGGGAGACCTGCTCAAATATTAGTCAAAAAGGAACAGGAGCACAGGTTACTGTACAATGAAACAATGTGGCAGCACAAGGGGGTTCAGGCAAAATATTTCACAGCACTGCAAAACTGGAAACCGTTCCTTGCGGACTTCTGACTATTCACCTCGACATGATTGTTCATGTGTGTGTTTATCTACATACATTAGGGGCATGTTAAACCTAACCAGTGCGTTTCATACTCTCTACATATTTACTAAAATAAAAATTCAAAAGAACCAAAAGCAAATAAAAACCAGAGCTGGTAAGATGGCTCAGTGGATAGAGGCACCTTCAACCAAACATGAAAACCTGAGCTTTCTCCTCGGGATCCACACGGAGAACGGAAATAGCTGACCCCTGAAATTGTCCTCTGACCTTCGCATGTGCTCTGTGCCATAGATATGCACGTGTGTGCATGCACACACACAAAATACATGCATACATATATAAATACATACATAAACAAAACAAATAAATTTCACAATTGCAATGTGAAGATCGCAGCTCTGCCCTGGAGCATTCATGGTGAAGGGCAGAACAGTTAACATTTCCACCATAGAAATTCAGTTGTATATACTCATTCCTCCTCTTAAAAGGTGAAAACAGGGCTTTGAGAGGTGGCTTAATGGGCAAGAGCCCAGGTTGCTCTTCCAGAAGACTAGTGTTCAATTCTGAGCACCCACACCAGGGTCTCAAATCCATTCGTCACTTTAGTCTCGTGAGATCCAGTGTCGTCTTCTGGCGACCACAGGCACCGGGCACAAACATGGTGCACAGATATATCTAAGCAGAGAAAACACCCATACACATAAAGTAAAATACTAGACAAACAGTTCAGTGTGGAAACAGTCATGACCATTGAAGTTTCTGCACTCCAATAAGCCTCTCTGCTGATGCAGACCAAAACAAACCGAATTTTAAAAAGTTCAGGTTTAATAAATACAAACATTGCTGGATGGCCTTCCAGTCCCCCAGGGAGGATAAGGGAAAGAAAGACCAGAAAACCACATGTTTGTTCTGGGAGATGCGGTTTAAATACCCTGTGGGAGTGGTTTTGAGCATCTCTGGGGAGGAGTCCTTGTTTGATGGGCTTTCTTGGGGGTGGAGTCTGGACTGAGGCAACTCCCAGAGAAGGGGACTTGGGGTGGAGCCTCCACCCAAACATTTCAGACTCTTTGGACTTATGGATGCCATGGGCTGGGGTGTGACTTCCATCTAAGCAATCATATGTAAGAGAATAGGTGGGTAGTTCTGATAAAAGTTTATTTACAAAATGGACTGCCCTGAGGGCTGGAGGGTGTAGCTTAGTGCTAGACTACCTATCTAGCATGGATTCACACCTCTATAGCACACACGCACACACACACGCACACACACACACACACACACACACAGCAAACAACCAACAAAAAGCCACCTCAAGAATTTGCTTCCCAGCTACTGTTTATTTGTTCTATTGGGCTGCGATTTACATAAAACATGCATATAACTTGTGAAGAGGCTTCACAACTCTTTCAATTTTTAACACAGCTGTTGTTTTGACATAAAGAGGTCGCTAAGTTCATTAGACCAGATTCTCGTATGACGGTAATAATTATCATTTGTATACTACTTTATGGTTTACATATTGCTTCCTCCGGTTTATACCCCTTGATCCTGGTGATGGCATTTCCAGATAAGGAAGGCCAGTGGCATTATTTCCATTAGGCCGATAAGAGAGATTAAAGATCTCGCAGCTAATAAAGTCAGGAGCCGAAGCTTGAATCTGGGTCACCCGGCTCCACAGTTCTATCAGCACTGACTAAAAAGCACACTGACTGGGTTCTAGAAACACTTCCGAACAAGGTCTTCAGTGTGCCTCTGAATTCTAGGCCATTGGCTATGTGGGGGCCGTGGGGACAGACTGAGTCCTCTAGAACATCAAGGTAAGTTGAGGACTTACTTGGTAGAAGCTTCCCTTTGAAAGTGACAGGAAAGGACAGCTTGTAGAGAATTTGGGAAGGTGGCTTCTGGGAGATCACTTCCCTCTGAGACACGGTGGAGCCCGACAGTCCACACAGGGCTTGGGCATCCGAAGTTTTCAGAAGAGCCAGAAGGCGAATTCATGTGAGAGAGTAGAGAAGGGGAATAGTCAGGTTTCTTCCTCTTCCTGTTTCCCATTGGCTAATATTCACCCTGGTACAAACTGCCTTTTCTCTCACTCACTCTGGGGGACTTCATCTGCCCCCAGGGTCTGCAAAGATACACGCCAGGGAGAGGCCAGAAGGCCATGCTGCTTGTCTCTGCTCAACGTGGAATAGGTTTTTCAGAGGATCGTCTCCTCATTTTCAACATCTCCTGTTCCCAAACAGAATGGAAAAGGGCAGATCCTATGGAACCCTGCTGAAGCAGATGGAGGCCGGAGCTGTGCGGGAATCGAAAGCATAGGGCCCTCTGCTCCTGCAAGAATAAAACAAGGCGATACGATACAGTGTTATATCACATAATTGTTACCATATTAGTTAAATCCCTAAATGAAGCTAAACTGTCATTTTATAAGTGATTAAAATATTTTTACAATGCAAATTAAAATGACACGTATTTATTTATTTTGTGTATGATGTGTGTATGTGCGCCTACGAGCCTAACAGTGCCAGTGCGATGCTAAGGACAACTTTGTGGGGGGGGGCACTGATGATTGATGTCCTTGGAATTGAACCAAGCTTGTCAGGCTTGGCAGCAAGTGCCCTTGCTTACTAAGCCTTCTCATTAGCCCACAGGGGTCTTCTCCACGGTGTCCAGACACACTTTTACTTTAGATAGAAGAAGAAATACAAACATGGAACTGTTAGGGTATTCCCTAAACACCTCCACTTTGGAACAGCTTTCCATCAGGGGTGTCCATACCTGTACTTTCTATGCTGCTAAAGACCGTGGTTATCATAACCGCCCATGGCCAAGAGTGATTGTGATATGTGTTCCAAATTTAGGCATGTAAAAAGATGATGAGATGCATTTTCATAACCTATTAAGTATGGAAATTTTATCTTTGCCTCTAATGACTAGAATCTTCTATTTACTATAGAATGTTTTGCTTTCACAGTCCGGGCGACTTCTGATGGTTGTCTAGACTTGTCTGGGGAGGGGGTAGCAGTGGAGAGAATCTTCTGGTTGCTAGGTTTTGGTAATCCCAGCAAAGGCATTAATGAATTGGATTATTTGATGAGTATACCTAACCCTCGGCATTCTTTGCAAGCTATGAGATTTAGCTGTGTTTGAGAAAAGTTTTCTACTAAAACTCCAGGGTTTTTAACTTATGTGGAGCCTTAAATACAATTCATCATCTTATCTAATCTGATATCCAAGGAGAGCTTTGACAAAGCAGAGTCAAGTATTGGCAATCCCCCAGAAATCTCCAAAGAACGAATGAAAGAAAAATGATTTAAAGCTGAAAGATTTAAGGAGAGCTTTGAAATCTTTAAAAAAAACTTAACAACGAACTCCTTCCAAAATCTGCTAATGCTGGCTTTAGAACATGAATAGAGAATCAGACGGAGGAGAGGAGGAGGAGAGGTGGATGGTGGATATCGCTTTGACTGCTGTTAGAGGGGCAGCTAGCATGCTGGTTAAACAGTAATACAGAAATTATATGGAAGATTCACACAGAAGAACTAACTCCCTAACTTTGGGTAACTTACTTGTTATGTTGCTGTGTCTTCTCTGTCCTTGGACGCTGTGAACTCACAGAGGGTGGACACACATACCGCCTTTTACAACAAAGGACTGTGTCTTAGAGAGGGCCAGACTCAGATTTGAATCCTGATTTGGTACTAACTGGCTGTGTGTTCTTGTGTTGATTCTGTAATCCTTCTGTGTATTTGTCTCCGCAAATAAGATGGAAAAGATACCTATGCTTACCGAGTTTTAAGACTAACTACAAGCAGTTATTAAAACCTGACACACGCTAGAATGACTAGCACCTGGTAGATATGTGTTAGTTCATTTTCTGTTGCTGGGATAAAATGCCTGGGATGATCCATTAATAAAGAAGAACACTTACTTTTGACTGACAGATCTGAAGGTTTCAGTCCATGGTAGACAGTCTCTGTTGTTTTGGCCCATGGTGGAACAGTAATTATATTGTGGTAAGAGTGGACAATAGAGATGGCCTATTCACCTCATAATCAGATTAAAAAGAGGAAGAGACCTAAGCCCACAATTCCCTTAAGGACACAGCCCCAATAATCTAAAACCTAGTAGGCTTTACCTATTGAAGGTTCCATAGCTTCCCAGTCGTGTCAAGCTGGGCCCAATGCCCTTCATACATGGGGATTGTGTTGCTTTCCTTGCTTGTTTGTGTGGGAAACTTGCAAGATCAAAACCATAGCTTTTTGAGCCAAACAAAAGTAACCACTGCGCTCACCACAGTTCCTCCCACCGACAGGTCATTTTCCAATTCTTCATTCCAAGGAAAGAACGGTGAACAAGCACGGCTGGTTCTTTCTGTGCAAGACTATCTCAAAATACATATTTAATGTTTTCATAAATTCTCACAGTGGAGATGGGATTTTTTTTTGACCAGTGCACATGCTACTCTGTGTGAAAGCAATACACACATTAAACTTTCTTTTCCATTAGTGCTGAGTATGTGCTGCATGCTACATCAAGACTGCTGGAACTTGCCCGGCTTTGTAGCCCAAGGAACCTGGACATTGCCTTTAAATTATTTTGGGCACCAATGTAAGAGCTCTGAACTGCAGGAGAGAAGGCTTTTTATCCAGCACTCAGCTGTTTGTCTCATGCTCACACTGAAGGCTGCCTTGCTCTGTCCTCACCATCTGGTAGGCTCTATGAACTCATGGTCCTAAGGAAGAGAATCTATAGATCCGCACATTTTTTTCTTGCAGTCTGGCTATTTCTTACTTTACCAGCTAGCCCCACCCACCTCCCTAGGAACCAATCAGACCTGCCTTCATGGCTAGGGGATAAACAGAGACCATGGCCAGATTGTAAAGGACTGAATTTTTTTTTTTTTCTGATTGGAAATTTATTGGCAAATCTATTGCAAACACATTGTGCCTGCTTTCCTCGTTCATGGAAACAAGGTTTGGCAAACCATAAAAATCACATTTCTTTGTTCTAGAGGTTTCTTAATACAAACTCAGAATTTGCTGCCCAGAGTGGTCTCCATCAGAGGAGGGACACATGACTGATTCTTCAACATCTTCATGTCGCTCAGCTCATGACGGGTCTCGTTTGATGTTAATCGGGGAAAATGTGTTGTTTCCTTGACTGTGTTTGCATTGTAACTTAATTTTTTGGCTAGAAAACTGGGCCAGTGGCTGCAGTTGCACCAAATTATTTTAACAAGTGGAAGTAGGGGAGCAACAGAAAAAGGAACAGGAAGTGGAGGAGGGAAGTAAGACAAAGGCTCCATTTTTCTCTAACTAGGTGGAGTTGAGAAAGGCTTCCTGCGCTCTGCCTTGGTGACTTGCTCTGAACCACACTTATTTGCTTAGTGACCCAACACTTTGTCCTAGTAACTGCCAAGAACATCGGCTGGGTTCTAAAGGAATATGAAGCTCTGAAATGTTCTAGGGTATTGCAAGATATGCAGTCCTCATGTAGGTTCCTGAGACTTTCTCCCTGCTGTGGCTACTGCTGTGATGCCCACTGTTTGAACTGGCGTGGTGGTGTGGGGTGCCTGCCATTCTGTATGGGAGTTGCTTTTATTGGTTGATGAGTAAAGCTGTTTTGGTCAATGGCCTAGCAGAGTAAAGCCAGGCAGGAAATCCAAAAAGAGATAGAGAAAGAAAGTAGGCGGAGTCAAAGGGATACCATGTAGTCGCTGAAGGAGAATGATGCCAGAACACTGATAATCCACAGCCTTGTGGTGATACGTAGATTAATAGAAATGGGTTGATTTGAGATGTAAGAGCCATCTAGGAATAAGCCTGAGCTGTTGGCCAAACAGGGTTGTAATGAATACAGTTTCTGTGTGATTATTCGGGCCTGGCTGGCGGGGAAACAAAAGTGCAGTCTCTGCCTACAACATGGTTCCTTCTAAAAAGCCCTGGCAAACTCCTCTTGTAGCAGGTGTTGAGGATGGAAAAGGGGACGGTCAGAAACACAGGAAGACAGCATTTTTTTTACAACCTAGCAAGACATTAGATATATGCTTCGACACTGTTTCACAAGAAGCAGTCACAGGATATCACAGCACACAACTGTGTCAAAAGTAATTTTAGTTTACCCACAAAACCATTACCCGCTTCCTATGGAGCAAACACGGCCACCCTGCTCTCTCTGACAGGGAACTAGCAGCTTTCAAAGGAGAAGCACAAAGAGAAACTTGCAACTACCTCTCGGTTGATTTCAGCTGGGTTTGCACAAAATTCTTAGCAAATAAATCCTTTCTGGTGTGCTCAGAACTGTACATCATATTTCAGCATAAATATAACACTATCCTACTGGGTAGCTTATTCCTTGGAGAGTGGGAATGATCTCCTCTGTCTGCTCACTGGGTCTCCTGAGTTTCCTCATTCCCATCACTCACCACATAACCTCTCTCTCTCTCTCTCTCTCTCTCTCTCTCTCTCTCTCTCTCTCTCTCTCTCCCTCCCACCCCTGTCAAAAACGCACATATCAGAGTCTGCCTTCCTATTTCCTTTCCCTTCTATCTGATCTACTTTTTGGCTTTCTTTGATTATCTGTATCAGAAGCCCAGCACTCTCTAGCGTCATGACAGACAAAAGTCCTTAATGAAACAGCACACCGCAAGGGCATGGTCACTTCACACACCGCCAATGGCCATCTTTGATGTTTAAAGCAGTAGCACGAATTTTGTGAGCATGCTCAAACTGAATCTTGTGAGCGTGGACTGAGTTGAAAGGTTTTGAAATGGGAGCAACTCAGTTTGGATGGGGGAAATCTAGACCTATTTCATAGCATCGTCCCAACTTGAGTTTCAACCCGTTCAGTTAAGTAGAGGAACTTTCAGAGATCCAGGATTGACAGTATAAGGTGTACAGCCTGGAAACATCCATCACCCTCTCTTATCTGATTGCCATTTTCCCCTTCTGCTCACCAAAATAGAAAAACCAGTGCATTTTGGGTGATGCGCCCTTGCTCCTGCAGTCGAAAGTGTCTTGGACACACTGACGAGGGCTGTTGAAGCAAGAAGTCAATCTTATCTCTCAACTCTCGACACTTCTATTCATGGTAAATCTAGCTGCCACCTGAAATCTCAGTATCTTTGCAGATAACACATAAGCCTCCAAAATTTATATTGAAGTAGTAATAAATCTGGATATCAATTAAATCCTGTGCTAAGAAGGAAGGGAAAGAAACTGAAATGCTTTGTCGTTTTACCATAGCACCGTGGTGACTTCTTGTTACTATCTAGTTTAATGTTTTCTGTTATTCCTGAAGACAAGGCTGTGAAATCATGACATGCAGTCTACAATATTCCATTTGGTTGGGCGACATAATGTGTGCATATTAGTTGTTTATTTGTTTTGAGCCCGTGCGTATGGATGTA